TGGAGAGAGGGAGGACATGAGGACTGAAGGGTGGGGTTGGGGGGTGATGCAGAAACCAAGCGGGTCGAGACAGCTGAATCACAAGTTGCCCAAGGTAAGTAGTCATGGTCTTTCTTGGAGTTGTGTAGAAATTGAGTGTAGTTAGCGTTGCTCTTCGGAGAGTCTTGTTGTGTAATCGTGGAATTTGGGGTCGGTCATGCAGTCTTCTGATGGGTAATGAGTACCGGAGCGAGGATTTTGTTTGGTCCTGATGTATGATAGGATTTGTCACGTTGAGGAAATGATGCAGTTTCTTGTTAGTGAGTTGGTTTTGTGTAATCTCTGTGAAGGAGTGTGTGATTTGAATGGTTTTGCTTGATCGCTGAGGTTTGGTGATGTGCGAGTAGCTATGGTGCTACATGATTTTTATGATTATGCTGGAGATGTTTGGTACCAATGGCGCTTTAACGTTATTAGTTGTAGACATACCATTTACACATCTCCGGTTTGCACAGAGCTGCGTTTTGGCTGTTGCCTGTAGTTGCATGCCTGGCTGAAGCTTGGGTGGTTTGTCAACTTGCTCAGGTTTCAGCACTGGTTTCCGTGTCTGAGCAAGAAGTGGAAGTGGCTGAGGCTCTCTACGATCTGGCAAGAATGTTTACGCAGCCTTCTACTGCCGTTAGGAAATCTAAAGTTGAGGCGAGCATGGATACGGATTTACCGAAAGCCGTTCAAAGTCAAGTTACGAACGTACCATCAGCTTCTGAATGCAGTGCGTTTGCTGATGCATCGAATGGAGCCGTGGTTGTTCCGTCCGCTTTGACCGTGGCTCCTGTGTCAGTTGCAAATGCTGGTGGAAGCGTGAGAAGTTCCTCACTCGGTTCTGCTTCGGCGGCTTCACCTATTCAACCCCCGTCTCCAGCAGCTGCTCCAGTTGCAGAGGGTATAGTATATTTCCTTGGTTCTATGGGCCATTATGGAGTTATATGTTTAGATTCCTGCTTGGGGGTTGGGTGCCTTCTTCTTCAGAGGGCCCTTAATTTTTTAGTTTTCGTGCGTACAGTAGGAAACAACTGAGCTGTTTGGGAATCCGTGACATGGTATGTATTTACGCCAGTGAATTCTCTCTTTTGCAGTTTTGGCGAAAAGGAAGCGTCCTCGCGTTAAAACTAGGATAGAAGAAGGGGACGTTATACAGTCGAGGACTGGGCAAACTGCATCAACTGCTGTATTGAATTCCGTCGGAACTGGTGAAACCCAGGTGAAGGTTGCGGATCAAAGCACAAGCCGGACATCCCCTGCAGAGAGAAGTGCTGCGAAAACGGACATTAGTGCCACAGCCACACCTGCTGTATCTGCGAGCGGTACCAACATTGTAACGACGGTAAGCAGCACGCGCAACGCGGTGATTGCATCGAGTGGCGTGGTCATTGCTGACGTTGCAGTTGAGCCACCCCGAGGAGGTGTAGTGGGTGGTTCAGTCCATGGGGCGGATAAGAAAGTTGTGGAAAATAAGGTTGTGCAGTTGGAGAAGAAGACGGCTCCCTGTAGTGGTATAATGGATGTAGCAAGCTCAAATCCCCAGGAAAACAAAGAAGGAATTTCTCCTGTTCTAGAGAAGCAGGGTGAAAGGAGCGAGTCTACTCCTCTTGGAGCATGCGCAAAATCAGTTGCAGATCCGATGCCGAGCATGACCGTTTCTGTGGAGGCAGTTGCAGTGAAGATGGAGCTTGACAAGAGGTTCATAATAAGAAACCTGAGCTGAACTGTACGATTTATCAGAATGTTTGTTGACTATTTTGTTGTGCAGAGCTGACTCAATTTTGTGTTGTATGTCAGGCCTCCTCCTCCTCCGCCAGCAGCCCCGATCGTTGTGGATCGTTTGCCGAAGCCAGAAATAGACTTGATGGTAAGCTGATTTTGAAGAGCTTTTTTTCCGGAGTGTGCGAACGTTGGGTACGCAAATAGATTCTAAGTTGTAGGCGTTATGTGTCATCGCAGGTACCTCCAAGCAAGCTGGAAGATGCGTCGAGCAGCGAGAAGGATAGCGAGGGTAGAGATAGATGGAATGATGTTCAGAATGCAGCAGAGAAATCTTCGGTACGTTAAAATGCTTGAAGCTCATAATAGCCGAGGATGACTTTTCGACCCTAGATGTAGCTGTCTTTGTTTTCTGTGGTTATTAATCGAGGTGCTTTGACAGGTTGATGCGGCGATTGCAGTCACTGTGGATATCACTCGGATGGATAGTCAACGAAATAGTGACGCGTCACAGCTTACTAAGATGGAGAGCACAAGTGCAAAGGAACAGGAGGAGCGTGAGAAGGAAACGAAACGAAATATTGAACGCGAACGACATGAAAGAGAACGGCGCCGGGAAGTCGAAAGCCAGACAGGTTCAGTCGACGAAATAGCCAATGGGCGGGGACAAGAGAAAGAAAGGCGAAAGGAAGGCGAGAAGGTGGAGTCGAGTAAGATGAATGTGCAAAGGTCGAGTAAGAGCATGAAGGGTGAAAACGGAAGGGTTCAGAAGGCTGAGAAAGCAGGTCTGTAATGGCCTCTTTTCAAGCGCGATGTACCATGCCATGGGGTTCCATTTTCCTAAATTGTGGGATAAGAGAGTTCTATTCTAGTCATTCCTACTGTCATTCTCAAAATAATGATGGATGTCGAATAGTGTTGCAAAGGATGCCCTGCTAGCGCAGTAGACCATATATGCTCTATGCCCAGTTAGTCTGGTCCCGTTTCGATGTCGTTGAGACGGCTGGATTAGCATTACTCTTGTACTAGCAGTAATTCCTCTCCTGCCCCCTTAGTCCTGTACTATTTAATAAGATTCTGACTCGGTGAAATTTTGAATGCGTTCAGCCACTGAGGCGTCTGCAACAGTGTTTCAGGGGCCTGCACCACCGAACTCCTCCAGTGCACTAGGTGTGTCCGGCAATGTAGCAGTTCTCCCTTTCTCAATGGGAATGCTGAGTTGGCCTTCAGTAATGCCAAGGTGAGTTCAAGTTCTGCACATTCAGCGTACGTCGTATGTGATAACATACTGTGGATTTTCCAAAACTTGCTTGTCGACTCCTCAAAAGGTTTTCCTAAAGGATTTGCATGCGCAACAGGTACATTCAAAATGCAGCGCCCGCTGCAGCTCCAGCAGTTCCTCCAGAGGACAGCTCATCCACTCTGCAGGTTCGACGTTGAACATGAGAACGAATCTCCGCTATGTTTGGGCTCATTTGCCTTCCTGTTGTGTGTAGGCGTTCCAAGGTTGTTGTGTGGTTGTGTGGCACTTTGTTGAGCTGTCGCGTTTGTCGTGGGCACAGGCGAAGCGAAGCGCAGTGCGTAAGTGGGTTGGGTTTATGTGCAGGTTCCGTACATTGTGCCTCAGCGGGCAGCATGGAAGCGGTGCGCTCTTCACGTGTACATCGCGCACTTCATCGACTTGCAGCAGCAATTGAAGCAGCATCAAAGTTTCTTCGGTGGTCCGAACCAGGGGTACTCGAAGTCGTACAACTTGAACGTGGCGGTGGGTGGTTCGGACGCGGTGTTAGGAGGCGCAGTCGGTAGTCCGATGGTGGGCGGCGTTGGAGCGGGCGGCGCGGACGTGGATGCGACGGAGCGTGGGCTGAACGCCGCCGCAATGGCTGCAGCAGCAGCCGCGAGCATGCAGGGGGCGAAGGAGCGGGCGCACGGGGTGGGGGTGGCGGGGCGGAAATCGCCAGGTGGGGAGCAACACGGCGGGCAGCAGGCGGCGGGATTGTCAGTGCAGGTGGGAGTGGGCGGATTGCGATGGGAGGGAGTGATGGAGTGGGTGGGTGAAGTGGAGGGAGTGGAGGTGGGATGTGTTGGGTGAGGGTGTGGGTGTTGCGGTGGAGCGCGTGGATGATGAGTGGATGTGTGGCTGACGGGGAAGGGGTGGTTTGGGTGCGCAGAGTGGTATGATGTTCGGGTACCCGGTGACGCAGAACGCGAGCTCGGGCGGTGGGGGGGGTGGAAGTGGGGTGGGGGGCGGAGGCGGAATGGGTGGGGCGGGGTCGGTGGGGAGCAACGGCGGCGTGGCGTCGGCAGCAGTGCAAGCTCAGTACATGCAGGCGATGATGCAGCAGCCGTCGGGATATCCGTTCGGGCAGTTTCCGGGTCACTATGAGAAGAGATATCACACACGGGTGGCAGCAGTGAGCGGGGCGGGGG